GGCCCCGTGCAATCGGCATCATCACCGGCGCAATCTTTATCAGAACCACCCACATTGGCGCCGTGCTGCGCTAAAAAATTGCATGTTTCAAAGCTGGTTCTCGCAAGAGGGCTAAGACATTCAGCGAAGCTGGATCTCAAATTCTTAAAATAAAAGAAGATAAATTAACATAAGTTTTGAGTGTGTAAATATAAACATATGTACAAACATACATGCATGCATGCATGCATGCATGCATGCATGCATGCATACAGACAGACAGACAGACAGACAGACAGACAGACAGACAGACAGACAGACAGACAGACAGACTTACGTAGAAGCATGCGAGCATGCATAGACATATGGAGGCGTGGCCTCTGGCCCAGAAGCCCGGACCCCCCGACAAGCCATGGGGGTGGCAGGGGCCCCCAGGGGAGATCCACGGGCCCTCGGGGGGGTGCCTGGGGCTGGATCCGTGCGCCGCGGGGCGCGCTGGAGCGCTCCGAGACTTCCAACGTCCAGGAGGGCTCCCCGAGGGCACAAGAGGCTCCAAACGACCCCAAAAGGGTCGCCAGAGAGCTTCTAGAGGACCGCCAGATGGCCCAAATCCACCACGAACACGCACAATGCAAAGCATGCGGATTTCGAGTATTTTGTAGGTTCTTCATGCGTGGACTCGCGACAGCTCCCAAGGCGCCCCGGTGGAGCCGGAGACAACCCAAGAGGCCACCAGAGGGGCCCCCGAGAGGCCCCAAGCAGCCAGAGAAGGCTCAAGAGGCCCGTCATATGTATGTGTATATATATGTGTGTTTGTATGTATGTATGTATGTATGTATGTATGTATGTATGTATGTATGTATGTATGTATATATATATATATATATATCGAATAGCCACACGACGCCGCCGAAGGCCCCAAACGAGGCCCACAAGAGGCTTCCAAGAGGCCCCGAGAGCCCCCTCAAGAGAGACCGAAGAGACCCGGGCTGGCAGAAGCAGTGTTCCGTACCGGCCACAGCTGGTTGACTGACCAGCGCCAACGGACAGGGCCGCCGCGCGGGCGCCCACACGCGCACCCACAACCGCAACCGCAGCCGCAGCCGCAACCGCGATATCGGGGTCCCCACGCTGGGCCTCCCGCGGGCGCCCGCAGCCGCACTCGCAACCAGGAGACGCACTGCGGGGCCCCCCGCGGGCGCCCGCAGCCGCAGCCGCACCCACGGGGCCAGTTTTTTACGCCGCCCGCGGAGGCCCGCGGCCGCAGCCGCGCCCGCAGCCGGAGGTCTCGCTCTGGGCCGGCCGCGGGAGCCTGCGCCCGCCGCCGGAGCTTGGTCGTGCATCGTGAGCACGGTGCGCTCCGCGGGAAGGGGGCGTGCAAGATGTCGTCCGCGGAGGTGGTGTCGAAGGTGTTCTGGAGCAGGCCTGCGGCAGCGCGAAGCGCACGGGCACTGCCCCGGATCGAGCGTGGGGCAGCGTCGGTCCCGCGCAACTGGCCCCCTGCAGCCCAGGGCTGCACCTGAACAGTGTTTGGGCGACTTCGTGGGCCGTTTTCGTTTCGATTTCGTTTTGCGGTAGAGGCGGATTGAAGACAAACGAGGGAAAACGAAAACAAAACGAGAACGAAAAGCACCGTTTAGGTTCAGCCCTGCTGCAGCCTGTGCTGCCCAGCGACGGATGGGACGGGAGGGACCGAGAAGCAGGCCGACGACGACGAACGCTCACGATCCTTTCGATTTCGCACTACTCGAGCATAGCCGCTGCATCGTTCTCAGTGATGTCCCGGACGACCCGAGAGGCTCGCCAGATTGCTTCCACGCGGCCCGGAGATGCCCATGAGCTCCCCCCCCAGAGGATCCCAAGAGGCCCCAAACCTTCCAGAATGGCCCCAAGAGATCCCGATGAGCGCCGACAGAGCTGCAAGCTTCTCCCGCAGGCCCAAGAGGGAGGAGCCCCAAGATGAAACCCAGCGCTATGACCCCACGACCGCGGACGAGCTCATGAAGAGCCTCCCTCCGAGAGGGACCGAAGTGGCCGAAATTGTTCGAACCCGTTTATTCTTTCTCGCGAAATTCGACCATGGAAATTCGGTCTGGCTTCACCAGAGGCTTTCCACAGGGCCTCCGACCCCCCACCCACCCCCACGGCTGGCGTGGCTGCCCCAGATGCCCCCGACGGGTCTCAAACACAGCCTCCCCGAGGGCCTTGGATCAAACTGCGCGCGCCTGCGAGTAGCTTGACCTTGGGCGTTATTTGAGGGCCATCGCGGGACCTCTTGTGGCTCTTGTGAACACCATCCTTGGCGTCGTCTGTCCCCCCGCGCACTGCGATTTCAGTCCTCATGCTGCCTCTAGCCGTCGGTCCACGTCGCAGGGAAGCACGATAACCATCAAGAATGCACGGCGGCGTTGAGAAGGAGGGGGAGGCGGAGGAGAGGAAGGAGGGAGACGAACACAACTCATCGCAGCAGGGGTTCTCTCGGAACCTATACGAAAGCTCCGTGGGCGAGGAGTCGCAACAGACACCGAGGAGGAAAATGGCACACAACATAAGGGAGGGGAGGAAGGAACAACAAGGAACGGCGTGGTGGGGGCACGAGTTGGAGTAGGAATGTCATGAGGGCACGGCAAGTGCCTTCGACTAGGACCTAAGCACGCGAACCACACGCGCGTGGGTTCTAGCACACATACGCAGATACGTACATGTATGAATACCTATATACATATATATATGTATATATAAACATGAAACTATGTGTATAAATGTATACAAATATACATACAAGGCTGTATTGGTGCTTCGCGCCATGCACCTTGCTCCTTGAAGCTTTGGAGCGGTTGGCCTGTCGCGCCTTATCTTTTCCCTTGGGGGCGTGCTCGCTGGCTCGTATCACGGAGAAGCGGGGGAAGGGGAGAAGGGGGCAGTCAATTTGGGACGGGCACAGACTGAGTCGGAGACCACGGGGGCACGGAATGGCGTAAATGGAAATTGCTGAAGTCCTGGGTGCGCAACAGAATTTCCAGAACAGTAGTTGCGAACCTGGGGTTGTGGGCAAACTGCGGCTTTCCGTAATAAAATACAAGAGTGAGGGTGTTGATTTGGCTCGTGTTGGGGCCTCCCCTGACCTTCAGGGCGCCGCCCATGGGCAGTTTGGGGGCCGTCCAGGACCCTCGTGGGGCCGCTTTGGGGATTCAGGAAGCGCGTCCGGGTTTAGTTGGAGAGCTGTTCGGAGCTTTGACAATGTTTTCGAACGCCCGACAGGCCGAAGGAACGAATGGTAGTAAACCTTACAACATCATTGAAATATCAGTGCTTTTCGGGTTCGAGCGCGTCTTGGAGGTACCTGTCGGGTCGCCTCAGGGCATCCGACGAAGGCCAAGGCCAAGTTGATGCCATTTTGGACCGTCTTGGGCGTGTCTTAGGCCTTCCGCCGGCCGCCTTGGGGTCAGTTTGGGGCGGTTATGGGGCCGCTTGTGGGCAGTTTGGGAGCCGTCTGGGCCCCGTACGGCTTTTCTGGAGTCGGGAAAGGTTTTCGGTGCCTCGCTTGCGTTCTCGGACGCCTGGCAAGCCGAATAAGGATATAGTCGAAAAGCATACAAAAACCATTGAGAAATGTAGATTTTCAGGGTTTCGAGCGCCTCTTGGAGGTGACATTCGAAGCGCCTTCGAGCATCCAGTAAGGGCCTCGACCGCATGATGCCATCTTGGACCGTTTGTGGCGTTTCTAAGGCTTTGCGCCAGCCGTCGTGGGGTCAGTTTTGGACAGTCATGGGGACTTTTGTGGGCAGTTCGGGGACCGCTTCGGGCGCTCATGGGGCTCATTTGGGCCGTCTAGCAGCGATTGCCAGTGCGTTTCCATCGTTCTCGGACGCGTGGAAGGCCGAATTAGCGATTACCCGCAACCAATGAAACATTGATGCTTCTGGGGTTCGAACGCCTCTTTGGGGTGACATTGGGGTGATATTCGGGCATCCAGCAGGGGTCAAGGCTAGCTGGATGCCATCCTGGACCGCATTGGGTGTCTCTTGGGCCGTTCGCCGATCGATTTGGGACTACCACCCGCCTGCGTGCACGCCTTGGCAAGGATTTCCAGCCCCCCCCCCCCGTGCCACGGATCAGGGGGGTCCCGTTTCGGGGGGGGGGTCGCACCCCCCCGGATTATAAAAAGAATGAGAATGTGCGTGTGGTTGTATGTAATCAGATATACATACATACGTAAGGGTACATTCACAGAGAGAAGAGCGAGGGTAAGAGAGATAATGGTAGATGCCAAGAAAACCTGCATGCATATCATTACATCTAGGTATCAACATACATGTACCAAAGCAAACAAGACAATACATACATATGTATATGTACATATATATGTATATATATACACGTGTATATCTATATATATATATATCTAGAGAGAGAGAGCGCGAGCAAAAACAAAATACATAGTAACTGAGTGCGACAGGCAGAAAGAGAGAGAGAGAGAGAGGCGGGCAGATAGAGACAGAGACAGAGACAGACAGACAGGCAAAAAGGCAGACAGACAGACTGACATATTGACAGAGGTGGAGGAGAGAAAGAGAGAGAGAGAGTACTACACTAAATGGAGGCGACTAGTTTCCTTCTACTCTCCTCGTCCAAGTCTTTCGCCTGCTCCTCCTCCAAGCCCTCCTCCCCCTCCTCCTCCTCCTCCTCCTCCTCCTCCTCCTCCTCCTCATCATCATCATCATCATCATCATCATCATCATCATCATCATCATCATCCTCATCCTCATCCTCATCCTCATCCTCATCCTACTCCTCCTCCTCCCCTTTTCCAGGTGACCAAAACACCTCCCAGTCCTCCTCCTCCTCCTCCTCCTCCTCCTCCTCCTCCTCCTCCTCCTCCTCCTCCTCCTCCTCCTCCTCCTCCTCCTCTGTTTCTCCTCCTCCTCCATCTCCTCTTCCTCGAGAATGAGTAGACGCGAGAGACACACCGAGAGAGAGAGAGAGAGAAAAAAAAAAAAAAAAAAAAAAACGTGCCCGAGGTGGAGCCCGCCACGCCGCGAAAGCCCCACAGGGCTGCGTGGCCCCTCGCCGCTCTCGCCGGCGCGGGCGCGGCCCCAGCGCTGCCGCGCGCTGCTGCTCCACAGGGGGGGGGAGGGCGGGGGGCGAGCAGGTCGAGCCGACTGCCTGCCGAGGGGGGGGCGGACGAGCATCAGAGAGAGCATCAGAGAGAGCATCAGAGGCGACGGGGGGGGGAACAGGGGACGGGTGGGGACGAGCATCAGAGAGAGCATTCGCGCCCGTGGGGCGCGTACGTGTTCCTGCTTCGTCAACGCGTTCGCCCGGGCAGCGAAGTACGTCCAAGGGGATGGGGGCCCTTGCATGTGAGTCATCTTGGAGGTTCATCTTTTTGTCTTCTAGTGTGCATGCACGCTTTGAGGACTCATGCCGACTGCGCCTGAGGAGGAGGAGGAGGAGGAGGAGGAGGAGGTAGGAGGGGGGAGGGCGAGAAGGTGGAGGGAGAGGAATTGGAGGAGTTGGGGGGAGGGGGAAGGGTGAGAATGAGGAGGAGGAGGAGGTCCAGAACAAACCCATGATTCATCAGCGATGCTGCAATAGATCCTCCCGTTCCAAGTCCCCTTCTTCTTCTTCACTGCAAGAAGCGTCCCCCAGAAAGAGAAGCACCCGATGGGCTTGCCGTTCAGGCGACAGCCTCGCTTTGACAGGGAGGCGCCATGCATCGCTTCGGCGCAGGAGCAGGAATGCGACAAGGCAGGAGCATGTAGCTCAACGAAGTGTCCAACGATATTCCCGTTTGGGCGATGACCGTCCCCAACCCGTGCAGCCGTTGCACAAGCTTGCACGCATGGCCATGAACTTCGAGGTACTACCAAGCGAAAGGCCCACTTTGGAAAGGGCCCACTCTCCATGCGAGCAGTTGCAACAGACCGTGGAGATCATTATATTGCGAAAGCCTTACGGCCGGCGCCGCCGACCTTGAAGGGGGGACGACGACGAAGACAGCGACGATGAATTGATTCAAAAATCTAAGGAACGAGAGGGATGAGGAGGAGGGGGACGGAGGAGGTGAAGGGGAAGGGGAAAAGGATGGAGGAGGGAAGATAATTAGGAGGAGGAAGGATGACGAGCTGGATTGTGGAGGAGTTGCCATGGATTCGCCATTTACCAGGATTGGGGTGGTGTGTCGCCACCAAAACAAAACGGCAGCGCGGCAACCACTTTACTGTGTACACGCCGTCGGGCTGCCGACGACGACGACGCTGACGTGGGTCAGAGTCCTCAGGGATGCTTCTTGGGGTCTGGTCGAAACGCTTTGGGGGCCTCGGGTGACAATGTAGGGGTCTCTTGGGAGCCTCTTGGGGGCCTGTTGGGGCTTCTGGGGGCCTCTCGGGAGCATCTTGGAGTCTATACGGGGTTTCTTGGGGGCCTTTTGGGATCCTCATGGTTTCGCCTGGGAGCATTCGGGGCGGAGGGTTCGAAGTGTCCGTTTGGGTCCGTCGTTTCGGCACCGTTTTCGAGCCGTCTCGGTGGCTTCTAGGGCCTTTTTGGAAGCGTATTGGGCCGTTTTGGGACTCCGTTGGGCCGTTTTGGGTCATTCGTGGAACCTTATGGGGCTGTCTGGGGGCGATACGGGAGGCCGCTTCGACCGTCTTGGAGCGTCGGGAAGCAGAAGAGGCTAGAACGCCGAAATCATCAAAAATCCGATGGGCAATTTACGATTTTTGTTTTCACGGCGCTCTTGGGACTGCTCTTGGCGGCCTCCTCGAGCGTCTTGCAGGATTCTTGGCCCGTCTGGAGGCCGTCCAGGCGTCTTGGACAGATCGTTCGGCGATTCAGGGCCCGCGCGGACTGTCTTTAGGAGCTTTTGGGCCACTCTTGGCACGTGTGTTGCGGCTCTTCTGCGGCCCGGGGGCCCCCGGAGGGGAAGCGCACCTGACCTGGGACGCCCCCCGGCCGGGACCTGGGTCCAGACCCAGGACCCCCCCCCCATCCCAGCGGGGGAGGGATCAAAGTGAAGGGGCTCCCTTTCGAATGTATGACGACGTTGCTCAATTTCGATGTGGCTGACGCGCTGAAGGAGGAGAGCCCAGGAAAGGAGAGAGGAGCGGCGACCGGCACAGGGAAAGGAAAGCACAGGGAAAGAGGACGATAGAGACGACGACAGAATGACAACAACGACGACGACTCGAACGGAAAAGCCCCTCGCGCACGCCGACAGGGTCGGCGGATTTGTTGTTATGATATTTGACGTTTGAAAACGCACCGTCCCCCATCCGAGTAAGTGCTGCCAGGCTTTATAAAACGAAGTTGCGCGACGCTTCGGCGATAGCCCCACTTTGAAAATGAGCTGACCTTCATCCCTGTAACAGCTACAAGTTGCAGGAGGACTGCGCGCGGCGCTAACCCAAGATTTCCTTTTGGAAAAGCTACGCGCGCCAGTGTGAGGACACATGCCTGCGGCGCTTAGGCGAGGGCTCCACGTCGAACAGATTTCTCGCTTCTGCAGACGTTTGCGCCGAATGCGCGTGGCGCGAAGGCGAGAGGCCAAGTTTGAAAACGGTTCGTGTCCAATTCGCACACTTGCTCCGCCTTCTCGACTTCAGGATCGATAAACGGCGAAGGCGTCCCGAGCCCAACGCGGGGGCCTGGGGAAAGGGCAGTCGGGAAGGGGAAGAGGGGGGGATGGGGACTGGGAGGAGGAGGAGGAGGAAGAGGAGGAGGAGGAGGAGGAGGAGGAGGAGGAGGAGGAGGAGGAGGAGGAGGAGGAGGAGGAGGAGGAGGAGGAGGAGGAGGAGGAGGAGGGGGAGGAGGAGGAGGAGGAGGAGAAGGAGGAGGAGGAGGAGGAGGAGGAAACAGAAGAAGGAGGAGGAGGAAGTGAGGGGGAGGGAGAGGTGGAAAGTTGTCCTAAGTGTTCACATGGTTTGTACATCGTGGTTGCTGTTCTCTGTGCCCCCAGTGGCTTCCGTGAGCCGCCGAGGACTTCGGAGAGGAGGATTGTCTTGGAGGGGGCGATGAGAGGAGGATACGGTGGGCGAGGGGATGAGAAGAGGACCTGGTGCACAAGGGGAAAACAGGACACGGAGAAGGAGGGGCGGCAAAGGGCAGGGGAAGGGAGGGGACGGGGAGGATTTCGGAGTGGAGGGGTGGGGAAGGGCGAGGGGGCGGACTCGGCCGCCACCTCTCGCCCACACGGGGCGGCGCTGGATTGGCGGAGAGGCTGGGATCGAAGCCTCTTGGCCTGGGGGTCCGTCCCTCTCGGTGTTGGGGTGGTGGCGGGGGGGTCTCGGCTGCCCCACGAACTTCGAGAAAGGGACATGGGAGGGAAGAGGGAAAAACGGCGGGGACGACAACGAAGAGGAGGGGCAGGGGGAGGGGGACGAGGGAGAGCCGGAAGAGGGGAGAGGGGGGAGGAGGAGGAGGGAGGAGGAGGAGGAGGAGGAGGAGGAGGAGGAGGAGGAGGAGGATTAGGAGAGCGAGGAGGACGAGGAGGAGGAGAAGAAGGACGAGGAGGACGAGGAGGAGGAGGAGAAGGAGGAGAAGGAAGAGGAGGCGGTGGAAGAGGAGGGGAATGGGGACAGGGAAAGGGAGGGGACTAGGAGGAGAAGGAGTGATAGGGGAGGAGGAAGAGGAGGTTAGGGGGAGGAGGTGGAGGAGGAGGAGGAGGAGAAGGAGGAGGAGGAGGAGACGAGGAGGAGACAATGGGAAAGGGAAGGGGGAGAGAGGAGGACGAGAAGAGGCCTCAAGCCTCTGCCGCGCTAGAGCGCGAGGTGCGGGCGTGGCTCAACCCTCCTGCACCCCCTGGCGTTTAGCATAGGACATCCAGGAGGCCCTCGCGACGACCACCAGTCTAACCCTTCCCCCCGCTCCTCGCTTCTCCTCCTCCTCCTCCTCCTCCTTCTCCTCCTCCTCCTCCTCCTCCTCCTCCTCCTCATCATCATCATCATCATCATCATCATCATCATCATCATCATCATCATCCTACTCCTACGCCTACTCCTACTCCTCCTCCTCCTCCTCCTATCCTCCTCCTCCCTCCTCCTCCTCCTCCTCCTCCTCCTCCTCCTCCTCCTCATCATCATCATCATCATCATCATCATCCTCATCCTCATCCTCATCCTCATCCTCATCCTCATCCTCCTTCCCCCCTCCTCCCTCCTCACCTCCCGTCTCCTTTTTCCTGGTCCCCCTTCTGCTCACAAGCCGAAGCCATTCTGGCTCAAGCGCTGCCTGCCCCCCCCTCGGACCCCCCTGCCTGTTACTGTCTTGTCCCGCGCCCCTCTGCTGCCATCCGATCACCAGGTCAGCGTTGCCCGCGGAGCCCAGGAGCTGGGGCGCGGCTGGCGGAAGCTGCGGGTCCACCGCCACTCGCGCATGGCGCGCGCCGGCAGGGCAACGCCAGCATCGGCGCGCAACAGGCTCTGGATTCAGCACGCGGACCCCAACATCGAGCATTCAGAGTTCCCGTTGTTGATGTTGAATTTGAGTTTCGTCTACAATGTGCTCGTGAGAATGGCCAGACGTCCAGGCCGTGTGCGGGCAAGGGTCCCCAGATCATCAGCTGGAACGTGCGGCGGCTCGCGGCGGCCAATGTGGACGCAGCGCTGGACATGCTCACGAGCTATCGGCAGCCAACATGTTGCAGTATGCTTGCAGGAGGTCGAGGGGTGGCCTGTAGGGCACAAGCAAGCAGTGGTTGCACCTTCCAGACTGCCGACGGAGAACTGGCACACAACTGAGTGGGAGTGGACGAACATCGTAAAAGATTTCTGCGCCCAGAAAGACCACGACCCGCGGAGGCACGCCAGCAGGACGATCGCATCGACAGCTACCTCCGCCGAGCCACGCAGGAGGAGCAAGAAGGGCGTCGACAGTCGCACGATTTGCGTCGACCGTTTCAAGATCTGCTTCTTCGGCGATTACATATACCTCGTCATATGTGGCGTGTATGTCTTCATGGGTTACATTTAGCGCATCATTGTCACGGAATGATGCTGCGGTCGCCTTTACCGGTATCATGCATATGTGTTTTCGCAGGGCTTGTCGTCCTCCGAGGGTCCTGCGCGGTCGCCGCGTGGATCGGGCTACCACTCCACCCCACAATTCTTGTTACTCTACCTAGCTCCTCCTCGTCGCACCACTAGAGTTGTCGGTCGTGGGGGGGCCGGGCG